GGGAGATATGTTTTTCTAGATATTTCAGCATCTTATATACCATTTTATTTTTGAATTTCGTTTTTTCTTACAAAGGTACATTTTTTGGCGGGCGGGGGGGAGAGGAATGCATGCATCTTTATTTGACAGGACTGCAATACAGGTAGCCCTCGACTTACAACAGTTCATTTGGCGATCATTCAAAGTTACAACAGTACTGAAAAAAGTGACTTATGACCATTTTTCACTTACCACCTTTGTAGCATTCCCTATGATCAAAATTCAGATGCTTGCCAACTGACTCATACTTATGAGCGTTGCTGTGTCCCAAGGTTATGTGATCCCCTTTTGCAACCTTCTGGCAAGTAAAGTCAATGGGGAAGCCAGATTCACTTAAGGTGTTACTAACTTATCAGCTGTGGTGATTCACTTAACTGTGGCAAGAAAAGTCGTAAAATGGGGGCAAGAGTCACTTAACAAATGTCTCTTAGCAACAGAAATGTTGGTCTCAATTCTGGTCGTAAGTCGAGGACTACCAATAGTTATTTTTATTTTCAACTGCATGTCCTCCATCCCTAAGAAAACTTCAGGGAGCAAATCGATTTTAATGCAATACCGCAGAGAAATAGTTGTGTTCTTCCCTGCTGGATTCCCCAGTGGAACCTGAGGCCCACGCACCTGTGTTGAAAAACTATTTTGCCACATGGCGAAGAAAAGTATATTTTCAAAAATCTGTCCCTCTTGACTTGGGGCCTGAGCAGATCCCACTCTCTCCAAACCGCCCTATAGCTTAGCCAGGCGTCCTCTCCAATGTTGTTTCTCTTCTGGGACTCAAATCCACGAAGTTTCACGGTTTTAGCTTGGCGTGAACGAGCCAAAAGCGGCTTTCGAGGGACTCAAATCACCATTTTGGCTTCATTCTCGCGGCAAAAGGAGCGCCAGCCCTTCTCTGAGGCGAAAAGTGTCGCCTTATCTCACGTCGATTCGCTCTTTCATCATCCGTCGAACAGAGCGGAAAAATTTCCACCAGGGCTACCTCTCGGCCCACAAGGCATTACGACGCCAAAGCGCACCGTGGGGTCCCAGAAAAAAACACGTCTTTTTTTCCTGCCAGGCAGGGAGGAATCTAGTAGGACGGAATCGCCGTCTCCCATCCCTTCGTCGGAGTCTACCGATTCACCTCGAGGTAGCGCTCGGCGGGAACGCCGGAAAAAATTTCAGAGCGCCGCCGAGCTGCCCGAAAACCTCCCGCCAAAAGTTTCGGCGTGCTCGGAGAGCCATGTGATGGGAAGCGGATTTCTTTACCTTC